CGAGTATTCGAATAATTTTACTATTCGAATAAACCACAAAACGAATATTCGAATATCAGATTTAAAAAAATTCCGAGCCCTAAACGAGAGCGTCTAAGTGTGTGAAATTGGTCATTTTAAGCCCGGATTGACTTGGTCAGCAAACATCCGGAGTTGACGCGATTTCTTTGAAATTTTCATGACTTTCAGGCTGAATTATCTTCTACAGATGGAGCAAAACTATGTTTGGAAGTTACGCCGGTTTAAACCAGGGTCTATAGTTTTTCATTTTTTGTCAAAAACCCCACTGTAAAGTGTAAACCCTCCATATGAAGCTTATTCCTTGGATTACAACGAGAACTCACCCTAAATTGCAGTTTCTTATTGGTTGGAAGCACGCCGGCGTCTCCAAGCCAGCTCTTTAGAAAATTGTACCACAACAGGGCGGAGCTGAGTAGAAACGCAATGGTGGTCATAAAGCCGACTGCCGGAGCAATGTAGATGAACCAGGTGAAATAGAACCAGATTTTCGTTGACAAGTAGATGCTCAAGGGCAGCAGGGCCATTAAGCGGTCGTCATAGAACAGCCGGCCTAAAATCAACACCCATAGTTCAATCAATAAATTCAAGTTTTTCATTTATGCGGCCACTTGCCCAAATAGTGAATCACTATGTACAAACAGACAATGAGGAATATTTTGATGATGATGAGAATGTTGGTGCCCAGCAGGGCGCCCGTTGTGTAGAAGACCATGAATGGAGTGCCCACCATCAGCCACCATCGCAATCGCTGCAAATTGACCAAATAAAGCGGCACGATTCAAACATTCACTATTAATTACCTTATCGGTGGCAAACTTGCTGAGAAATCCTCTGGATGAGTGCGACTGGGCGTGTTCCTTGACCAGCTCGGCCACTTTGGGGTTGATCCAAATGGAGCCCGCTTGGGACTGGATCATTTGCAGAGGCGACTCGCCCCTTCTATTCGCCACATTCAAGTTGGCATGTCCTTGCAGAATCAACGTGGTAATAGCGGTAGCATTGCGCGCCATTATTGCCCAATGGAGCGCAGTGTTTCCATGGGTTGAATCCGTCAAGTTGGGGTTGGCGCCCAAAGTGAGCAGAAGTCGCGTCGGATCCAGGCTGCATATTTTCCAAACGGCCCACATTAGGGGCGTCATTCCAGTGCGGTCAGCCGAGTCAGGACTCACGCCCCTTGCCACGAAATACGCCACCTAAATCAACTGACTGTTATCATCCCAAATGGGCTTGAGATGGAGCAAGAATACCAGAGCGGTGTGGCCGAATTGTGCGGCCAGATGGAGGCAAGAGCAGCCCTCAGCATCTCTGAGCGCCGGATCAGCGTTGGCGTTCATCAGAATAACGCAGGCGTCCAGATGGCCTTGTCTGGTCGCCCAATGGAGCGGCGTCGCGTGCAGCTCTCCACCCACTGCGTTCACTTCCGCCCCCTTATCTGCCACCATCAGTTTCCAATTAAAGTAAGTTGGGTAAGAAGTAGCAGGGGAAGATGGGATATGTGAGTGTTCAGGTAAGTGGCTTCGATTCCGCCAGTTCTATTCAAGCGGATTGAGAAGTCGGGAGAAAAATAAGCCCTTATCGGGTTTCCATCTCCATGTAAGCCGCGTATGTTCACATCGGAACGCAACGAAAACATTATCGTAATGATGCAAAAGTTCGATACTGTTTACAAGTTTTCAAGAGTGGATATACTTTATCAATTAGGTTTTTGCCGACCCAGTCAACGCTGGCTAAAAAATGAACGTCTTCATGCAATAACCCGCTCTTTTTTAAAAAAAATCCAGCTTTCAAACGGTGTTAAGTGACGTGGTAAAATTTTCACCACCTGCAGACAAAGCTTGACTCTACAAGTCCTAAAACTTTCATTTAAATCGCATCAAATCGTGATTTTTGCCCATCAAGTAAATGCAGGGGAAAAAAATTACCGTTTTCATGGCAAGAACCCGCTCTCGTTTAAAAAGCTCCAACTTCCAAACGAAGTTAAGTAGCAACGTCAAATTTTCACCATCTGCAAACGAGGAACGACTAAAAGTTCTGACAATTTCATTTCATGCTCAGTTTTCTTGATTTTAGGGCAGTCGACGGAATGGCCACCAGAAAAAAACCAAATTAATCACCGCTCTGATTTGAATTGCAAAATAAAGACCACATGGGGAAGGAGTGGAGAGGACCAATTTCCCTAGGAGGCCCCTTTAGGGACTTACCAATCAGGTATTTGATAATCTCCTTGCGGTTGTTGATGGCAGCCCAATGCAGTAGCGTTACTGTTTCGCTGTCCTTCTGGTTAACATCGTAGCCCGCTTCGATAAGCTCCTTCACACGAAAGACTGCCCCATACTGCAAAAAAGACACAGTTACAGACACTGGTAGAAGTTCAGGAAATTTACTTCAATGCTAGATTAATGACTAATCAATATCCAGGCTAGGTGAGGGACAAATGGCAAAACCAACCAGGCGATTTCCCCGATTGAGTGCGGACGCAAAAAAGTCATTACCTGGGTAGCTTTGACGACATCGAAGCCACTGTAGTCAGTCTCAACGGGGGGCACTTGGGGCTCCTTGCAAATCAGGTCCTGGCAGTCCTTGTCGGTTTGCGCGCACACACCGGCGCCAGCGGCCGCAGCCCCGCAGGTGTTCTGGTACATTTTGGGCCCCCTTTGCTCCGCCCTTTTTGTTTACCTCAATCTACAAACTCCCAATAAAATGCTCAGCAAGGTTAACTTAAATGTCATCTGTCCAAGTCAACTTCGCCTCAAATTCCTCAACAAATCCGCTATCGTTCTTGTTTAATAACAACTTCTCGACTAATCTTGGACAAGTTTAACTTAGAACATAGCAATTGAGCAAAACTTTGCGTGTCCGTGAGTCTGTCTCGCGTTGAATCGGGGTATATCGGGGGGGCGTTATAAGGTTATGTGTGAGCGCAATGTTGCCTGCTGTTTTCAGTTGTCGCACTTTTGCGGGGATTTCAAACAGTCGTTATCAGATAAGCCACTAACTTGACGAATGACTGAGTCGCTACAACACACTTTAAGTATAGGGGGGCAATCAGGATTTTTCAGCTGGGTTGGAAACGTGCAGGAGATTACTGAGCCTTTGCCCCAATGGGGTCACTAGGGGATTTTTCGCGCCGTCTGGCAACTTGGTATTTTTTGAGGTTGTCTGACTTTAGTTGTCTATCCGTCATTGTAGTCCTGTCTTGTTCTATGATAGTGAGGCCTCACACGTCAATCAAAGGAGTAATGTTGTGTTTTGATCGCTACGCCTTTACTCCATATGTAATTGTAAATTGGCATGCAAAAGCTCTTTAAACAGTATCCCATTGCAGTGTGGAGTGAGCAAGTGGTGCTATTGAGTAGAGGTGTTGCGCCCTCAATTATGTCGAGCTCCAGGTCTTCGACTACAGCCCCCCAAGGAGGATTTGAGGCAGCCAGGTAAACCGACCCGTGTAAATTGTTATCAGGCACCAAACTAATCCGGTGTTTAGATTAGGGGCTCAGCAAAGTACACAATTTATGCTGAGCCATTTCGGTAAATACTCCGTTTAAGTTTTGTTTGTTCATTTCTTTACTTGAATGCCCCGAAATCTGAATTCCGCCATAGACAAGTATTGTGCTCTAGTTAGCGGCTGTTTCACAGCCTTTTAGTGAAATTAATCGACTGAAGTGTGGCCTTAAGCGCATTGGCCCCATACAAGGTGGTTTTATGGTGTAAATCTAGCAGTAGGTTAAGGCTTTAACATTTCAAGGCAACGACGCCCTGTATATTTTTAATATGAAAGTGCGCCTGGTTATATACAAGGTGTCCCGTTTAAATTAATGAAATTTAAACTTTGTGTTTGCTTTGAACGCACGTCAAATTCCCTGACATTTTGTCAATCAAGAGCGGGTTTTTAAACGCATAGGGTGAGCGCAAGGCGCGGTGCCACTCTGCTTATGAACGATTACAGTCGTTCATTTCCTCACACAAGAAAGTATGTACCTTTTCTTGTCTTTTTGTTTTATTAAAGTTAAACATTATTTATTAAAGTTATTCTTTTTTAACGTTCCTACTTCCGGCATTTAAACTTCCGCACGTGATTGGGAACCCGCTCCTAGGTTGAATGGTGTTTAGGGAAGTTTGTGCGCGATTTACTCTCGCCAAATTTTGAAAATTTTCATAATATCTTTCATTTTCGTTCCGAAAATTGATAAGTTTTTGCAAGAGAAACTTTTGCGTCGTCGTTTTGTGATATCTCCCGGTCGGTAGTGCGTTTTTTCGCATAAATACGCCACTTTAAATCGGAAGTTTTCTGACACCCTGTGGAAGCCATCATTACAGACGCCGGCCAATTACAACTGGGTATTTTTGACGTTTAGTGGACATTTAAGGTTTAGAGCATAGAGTAAGTAAACATTATTTTATTTTCTCTATGGTTTAGAGCACTTCGGAGTTTTGGGGACTACCTAAATCGGGCAGCAATAAGGGTAGTAAGTTGGTGTGATTTTTCATTATTTCACTAATTAAAGCTTTAAAATGAATGACACTCTGTTGGAACAAATGAAAATATGCTTTATGCCACAAAAACACTCAAACAAATGTTACGGACAATGTTGAGTTCCAAAACCTTAACTACACACCCTGTATATTTTCGTTTTGGCAGCTTTTTGAGGAGTTAATTTGCTTTTCCATTTTTGGGACGAAGTCGTCCTGAGACCCACATAGATCTGTTGACACCGATTCCAAATTCGATTTAATGCCCACCAGCAAAATATGAAAATCAACACATCGCGTGTTATTTATATAAAACATAAATACTGTTAAGTAAATTTAGACTTTTTATAGTGGCAACGGGATCCTTGAGAGTTAGATGCCAACTTGTCCCCCCAACGTGTAGATTAAGTGCATCTAATGCGAATTATTTTGAGATTCCGAGTTGATTTGCAATGCTTCTTTGGTTGCAGGTAGGATGCCTGCGAGCAGTTTGAGGGCGGATTGACCCCTCACCGTTTTGGTAAAATGCCCGCAGTCCAAACCAATTCCGACGGCTACTTGAAGACTGAGACCATTCAGGATGATCATCCCTCCGACATTGTGGATGAGGAGCAGGTCCAGCTTTCGCTGGACCCAAAATACCAAGCGCTCTTTTCTCAAATGTCGCGGGAATCCGGGTAAATGTTTTTCAAACACTTGTTTCACTAGACAATTAATCTAATTTTTGCTTGTTTGTTTCAGATGTTGGGGGAAGTTTTTTCCGATCCCATTCGAGCGAGCGTCCCACAGGTCCTGGTGGGACCCCACCTTCGACTCGGAGATTCTGGAGGACCAATACAAGAAGAGCGCCTTCCCCCACAACCGATTTAAGTTCCGGTAAGTGGAAGCAAACAATTGAGCGCCTAATCCCCAGTCAGACAATCTACTGCTGGGGAAGGTGCGGCATTTGCTCGTGATTTTTCCGCTGTTTGATAAGTTTTATCAGTGTTAGCGAAAGTACACAGACAGGCAATTTTCCCCATTTTATTAGGTAAAATGGAATTAAGTGCGCCGCTAGATACTTCAGGTTAGCTATCAGGGATTAACTCTGATCGTTTGCTTTAGGCAAACATGTCGGTATCAATCAGTCAATAAAGGGTTTCGTTGGCGCAGTACATCTGGAGATTTAGCCAGGATTTGAACAAGATATTGACTGATTTTCAAAAATTACGATTATGTGTTTCATAAATAAACGCTTCGATTGCGGACATGCAAGAGAAATTATCTAGTTTTGCTGATTTATGAGAAAAAAATGTATCACGCCGACCTGCATAAATAACAACATTCAAACGCAACTTTGAAAGGTTCTTGGTAATTAAGTGAAGGCGACTGCAAATCGAATCGCACTTTACCCTACAAAATGCACTACGGCACCAGGACCGTTCTTAACATATTCTAAAATTTGAATGTTTCTTCCAGATACGCCTTGTGGTACATAATCTGCGTGTCAACATGCTGGCTTATCTACCGAACAGGCCAGGGCCTACTCACAGATTTCGCCGATCTCACTCCCATGATAATACTGTGCCTGTCCATTCTCATCTACAATATACTCATCTTGTGGCAGACCTACACCAAATTCTTCCAGCAGCACATGGTGGCCATAGCTCTCGGCTACGCCTTAACGCTGTGCCTGATGTTCCTGGCAGCGACCGGGAGCGCTGAGTTCTGCAACTGCATTCAACTGCTGATATTAACCTACACCCTCATACCGCTCAAATTCTACATGGCACTGACATTGGCCATTGTCTACTCGGTTTTGTTCGAGTTATCGGTGAGCTTCCTCTACAAGCCGACGGAAGAGCCGGACGAGACCCTATTGACTGTGTTTACCAGGATATTATCGCATGTGGCCATTCATTTGATCGGGTTGCACATCTACCTGATGAGCAATGTGCGCATGAGACAGACTTTTATGAAAGTCGGCCAGAGTCTGCTGGTGAAGAAGCAGCTGGAGCTGGAGACGCGGCTGAAGGACAATATGATTCACTCACTGATGCCGCCCAGCGTCGCCAGTTGGCTGATGCGTGAGGAAGAGACGCGACGCCCATCCGGCGAGTCGGAGAACAATTACATCCGCTCCATGTTCCGACCGTTTAACATGGACACCAAGAACAACGTGAGCATCCTCTTCGCGGACATTGTGGGTTTTACCAAGATGTCCGGCAACAAGAGCGCCGAGGAACTGGTGGAGATTCTCAATAATCTCTTCCAGCGTTTTGACGATCTCTGCAAAGATCACAGCTGCGAGAAAATTTCCACGCTAGGTGACTGCTACTACTGCGTATCGGGCTGTCCGACTGCACGGCCCGATCATGCTCAATGTTGCGTGGAAATGGGATTAAGCATGATCCAGGCCATCAAGCAATTCGACCAGGAGAAGCATGAGAGCATCAACATGCGCGTCGGGATCCATACGGGGACTGTGCTGTGTGGAATCGTCGGCACCAAACGTTTCAAGTTCGACGTGTGGAGCAACGATGTGACCTTAGCCAATAAAATGGAGAGCACTGGCAAACCTGGCATGGTGCACATTTCCGAGAAAACCTCCATGTTTCTCGACAATCAGTATCTGCTGGAGGATGGCGAGTGTGTTTCAGGTCTGCTTCTTCAGCTCGTTGCATCGGATTTGTGGAATGCGTCTTCAATTTTTCAGGATTGAAGACCTATTTTATCCTCGGTCATAAAGTGGATAAATGTCCCTCCTACCAGGGCAGCTTCCGCGCAGAGGGACGACAGAAGTATGGAAATTCGCTCCAACTTTTCGTGTCGCCGCCGATCTCCACCACGTCGCTGTCGCCCCACCAGAGACCCCGAGTGCTCTCCTGCGACACCTCACATCTCAAGTCTCCCCAAAATCAGAACTTCCTTTCCCCCGATTCCTGCATCATGAAAGCTAACAGTTTGCCTAGCATATTAGGTTAGTTTCGATGGTGTTTTTACTATAGAGAACTTTGCCTATTTCAAGTATATTTCAGACTCGGAAAGCGAGCAAGATCCGCCCGATGGGGTGCAGGTGGAGAACATCAAAACGCCCACATCGACTGCCAGTTCCGGCAAATATTCGATCAAGCTAAAGAACTGGAAAATTCCGAAATTTATGAGAAAAACCAGCACAAGCAGCAGCAAGCCGGACATTGATGTCGACTTTGTGTCTGGTGCAACTGATGCCAGTGAGGAGGGATATCAACAAGTAAGTTTAAACTAAACTGCTCAACGAAATAGACTGAATTTCCACTAATTTTGGAACTGGATAAGAACTGGTGATAGCTGCGAGCGATTTGATTTCTGATTGAAGCATTATTGAGTGCAATTTTTTTGCAAAAAATTAGTGATTGGTGAAATCAGCAAAGCCACTCATCTTCTAATCACCCTGTAGATAGAAATATTGTCTCAGGTACCGACAATAATCGAGAGCACAACAGCCAACAGCAAGAAAAAAGACTCTGTAACAACGCTATCGTCTCGCCACGAGGACTACCCGGCTTGCAAAGAGCCAATCGACGTGAAATCCTATATCAGCTTGTCCCGGAACGATATCAGCCTCTGGAACTATTCCCAAGGCGCTGAGCTGATCAGAGGAGGTACTTGGACAGCGCGAAACAGTGGCGGCTCGTGCTGTCGGCCTTAGGGGTCATAAAAATTCGTTATTGACTCAGGCAGAGGCACGAGTCGCGACTAGGGCTGAATTAAAACGTTCCGTCTAAAACCGTCGCATTTCTAGGAAGCTACAGAGGCTGCGGCCGCTCATTTAATGCAGAATTCGCCGTTCTGAACAGGACGGGTAGCAGTCGCTCGCGAAGGGGCAGAAGCCCGAATTTGGACTCGCTGGAGCCTTTGGAGAGGTACAATTATAGAGCATTGAAAGCATGCTTTGTAATGTAGCGGTTTCAGAGCTAGGAGTAACACTGTCACTGTGGGGAACATCAGCAGACCCAAGCGCTCGTTCGACGTTCAAAGTCGGCTGCCCAGCATTGCCATGCTCGACGAGGAGCCACCTCACAGCAGGAAGGATTCGGGGATAAGAAGCAACAGCCGTAGAAGCAGCTTGCAGGTAAATTTCGGACACTATTTGGCTTAAAAGACCAAAACTTGCTAAACATGTAAATTTTTCAGATTGATAACAGGCTGATCAACCAAGAGAGTCTCCAGCACCGCCTGTCTGGTTACTACACGTCCAGCCAGATCTCGATGAACTCGGTGCAAGTGTCAAAGCTGGTAGCGTCCGACCCTCAGGGCCCATTCTTCGACAAATACGGCACTTGCATCCAGAATCTGCGCAAACAGTCGGACCGCCAGTTGATAAAGTGCGTGCAAGACAACTCGCAGTCGCAAGGTTCGTACTTTACACACCCACCCCTGTCGCCCTGGACGCTCTTTTTCCAGGACAGCGCAATCGAGCGCGCGTACCGCGAAAACGTCCATCTCACCAATCCCAGCTTGGAGGTAAGCACGCTTCCAAACTCGGGTTTTACCACGTACGTGGACATTTGCGTCTCGTTCGTGGTTTTCTTGATAGTGTCGGCGACTTTGGCGTTTGTTTACGGAATCACACCGCTGTGGATGGCCACTTTTGCGGTCTGCGCGCTCCTGCAGCTGCTCAATCTGGGACTGTGTTTGGTGTCGGTGGTGAAGTGGAGCGATCGGGTGTGTTGCGGCAGTCGCTTCTATCGCTGGAATCTTCTCGGTGCCATTCTGGTGAGCGTGCCGATGCTGAGTGCGCTGGTAAATCTGACGCTTGACCTGGAGCTGACGCTCTACCACTTGAAAATGTACAGCTATCCGCTGTTTGTGGGGCTGATGCACTTTTGCAACTTCACGCAACTGAACTGCTGGATGAAGAGCGGCATTGCCACCCTGATCAGCCTGGGGGTGGCCAGTTTGCTGATCGCCCATCAGTTTGTGCCGCAAGAAGCGCAACCTTTGGCCACCAACGGCAGCGTCGGCCTCAATCAGCAGGACTTCGAGGCGAGGCAACAGTGGCAGTTGAAGAACATCGAACTGATCGTGAACATCATGATGCTGCTCCTGTTCGTCTGGTTGCTGAACCGCGAGTTCGAGATCGGCTACCGGCTGAGCTTCCACACCAACCACATGGCCAATAAGAACAAGATCGTGGTCGAAACCCTGAAGAACCAGGCCGACTATTTGATATACAACATTGTGCCCGAGCACGTGGCCGAGCAGCTGAAGAAGGAGGCCAAGTATTCGGAGAACTTCAAGAACGTGGGGATTATCTTTGCCAGCATTGTCAACTTCAACGAAATGTACGACGAGAGTTTTGCAGGCGGGCGCGAGTTCCTGCGGGTGCTCAACGAGCTGATCGGCGACTTCGACGAGCTTCTGTACAGGGAGGAGTTTCAATGCGTGGAAAAGATCAAAACGATCGGCTCCACTTTCATGGCGGCCAGCGGGCTCAACTCGCAGATGCGCGCCCGGCAACTGGATCCACACGAACATCTCTACACCCTCATGGAGTTCGCCATGGAGATGCAAGATGTGGTGGAGAAGTTCAACCGCGATCTTTTGGAGTTCAATCTAATCATCCGCATCGGTTACAACTTTGGCGACGTGACTGCTGCTGTGATCGGCAACACCAAGCTCTACTACGACATATGGGGCGATGCTGTTAATATCGCCTCCCGCATGGACAGCACCGGTGTAAACGGGCGCATTCAAGTGGGGCGCAATTGTCTGGCCGTGCTGGAGCGCCGCTTTGAGTTTGAGCATCGCGGCCTCGTTTACGTGAAGGGCAAAGACAACATGGATGTGTATTTGCTGAAGAAGCGCAGGAAAGAGCTGGAGGGCGCCAGCCCTGATTTTCTGACCATCCCCGAGAGCTGAGCGGTTGGTAAGTACGGCGAATTAGGCGCTGGGTATACAGGGTTGATTGTACTTTTCTGGGTGTCAGCACACCCATGGTTGAGCTCATTGAGTCGGTTTGCTAGGGTGGTTTGATTGTGAACAGCATCCAACGTCCAAGTCTGGATTGGACATTGGAATAAAACACACAAAATTGCTTGAGGCTTTATAAGGCTTCACATTGTTCAGGGAAATTAAAAAATGCGGGGTTTACATGTAGATGCTTAAATTTAAAGCTCTCCAAGCCTCTATTTTCTGCCATTTGTCAGATAATATCTTACTCTTCTATTAGTGGACAGATTTAAAGGGGGAAGTTGCAGAAAAAGCTGCTGTTTGCATCTGATTTTGAAAATTTGCGCACAAATTCCTAACTGACCACATAATAACACTGAAACTGCAATCTTAGTTGTTCTGTTTTCATTGGTAAATTTAGCCCGTTTCCAACTCTCTCCATTGAGAAAAAAATTGACTTGAATAAGACGAACGTACAAAAATTGCGCCTCCTCCTGATTTTGAAAATTTGGTGAAAAATCCCTGTTCGAGTCTTTTAAGCTGTGTTCTTCTTCAAAGCACGCGTAAAGCAACATCCAATAAAATGCAAGAAAATCCTTAATAATGGAGTCAGTTCGAAACAGAAAGGGTTTTTCTTTATAAATAGCGCTTTTCTCCATTAAATGCAACTCTTCAATTGGACCAAATTAAATTTCAAAGACACACAAAATACCACTGCTGATGGCAGTAGTTCGAGACTTGCTGGGCTTTATTTAATGGAAAACCCGCATGTTAGGCTTTCTAGTTCATGTTAAAAATGTTTAAACAAACAAACAAAAAAATGGATCTTTCCAGTATTTATATTCAAAACAGTTCAGCAAATGAACTGCAGGAATGAATAGTCGATTTTATTCAATAAATTGTGTGTGTAAATTCAAGAAAAGGTCTTGACACCAACATGCTTTCAACATTTCTTATCCATTTTTATACTGAGTAGAAAATTAAAATACTCGGCTCTATATATACACAAAGTACAAATAATTATGGCAAACATGGGACGTAAATCGCCTGTACAGTTCGATGTCTTTAAAGCTTGTTATTCACCTTATAGTTAATGATTTCCATATGGTTTGTGTGCAACAGTGCCTCTTGCAAATGGGCCTTTGGCGAGAACTGTGATAGTTGTTTTTTGCAAACTTTCTTAACCAAAGCTTAGATTTATTACGGTTACGTTGAGTAATTTGCGCTAATAATGCTGCTTTCCTTGCTCATTAAACGATATTTGAAAGGGTCTAAACGCTGACGGGAAACGGCAACTTTTTGTTGGATGATGGTTCCATGCTTTTTCGCCCTTAACGAACGCAATTGATATTAATATGCGGTAGCTTTAACGGAATACCTGTTCCTAATACTTAATAAAATAATTTATTTATGGTAAACTAGTGATAAAATGCCCTTATAAGTGCAGATAATCTTCAATATTCCGGGTCCAAAAACTGATATATGTACATAGTTGTAGTTTGTAGTGCACATTTACTCATAGCTGCTTTTGACGGCAAAGCGTGTACATTTGATTGTTTTTATCACCACATAGTATATTGCATTCCACGCCCTCTCCAGTGGACATCAAAATATTTATATACATACCCTACATACACTTAGGCAGATAAGTGAACGAGTTAAAAGGTTCGCATTTTTCTATGTTACCAGTGTACATATATTATTTATCAGATATTTACTTTGTATATACAATATTGTTATTGTTCTTTGTTGATTTTTTCGTAAACATCGGTTTCTATTCATGTTTTCTGTTTTGGTCAAGCATACATCGATTTCTCTGCGTGCATTCGGAATGTCTCAACGCCAATTGAAACACTCACACAAACACTATTTTACAATTTACATAACTATTTAAAGTGCCTTCTCTTCAACATTTGATTTCCTACTGCTAAGTGGCATAACGAATGTGCACCCGTCCTGTACCACTGTAACCATGTCTGAATAAACAAATTTGATTAAAGTGAGCCAGAAAATTTGATGAGAAACCGCCTGTGTTACGTCCAGATGTTCACATCCACGTCCCTTTCCTGCCCAAATCCATCCAGAATTCACTCTTGGACAATGAAACCCGCCGCGAAATTGACAATGTTGAGAAGAGGAGTCTTGGAAAGTGGAGATTGCAAAAGGTAATGTGAACATTTTCGTTTATAGCTTATGTTTACTTGGTTGCAAAAAATCCGGTTTTGGTGCGATTTTATTGAAATCATGTTAATTTCTTCTATAGATCGTAAAAATTACAAGTTTTTGCTTGTTCTCGATTGAATGTTCTCATTTTAAGCCAGCATTGACTTGGTTGGCAAAAGCCTAGAATAGTTTGCAGATTTCGCAAATACCTAGTGTTCAAAACGGTTATTTTTCGCGGAGCAGGAATAAAACCCATAAGAATTTGTACCACCGAGATATTTATTAACACATAATATGTATGCATCGTTACAGTACACACATTAAACTAAATTCACAGTCAAATTCCCATTACTCAAACTCTAAAAAACTTAACCAAGGATATCACAGAAATTTGACTTAAAAAATAAAAACTGTACAATGACAGGAAAAAAATGGAGACTATCGGCTACTCGGAAATTTGCAGGTAGATTGATGGCGCCTACTCTGTATACGAATACCTGAAGGTAAAAACTGCGAACATTACATTAACAACGTTATATTACTACAATAGAGGATTTGCATAATAAGAATATGGACAATACTTTGTAGGTTTTGGTTCGTGGTAACCGACCAAGTCTTTGCTTCTCTCACTGAGCTAATTTAAACCGACTGCTAGGCGACCACCAGCGGCTCATCGTCAGAAAAGCCGACAATCCGCGGACTGTCCTCTTCGTCTAGACTGTTGTCGTCGAATGTGGCCGCATCCGAGCGCGAGTTGTAATGCGAGTTGGCGAAACGCACAAAACTATTGTGCAGCCTTCTGTTGCGTATTATCAGGAACGCGATCACCCCTACCAGGGCCAACAGTACCAACAGACTGGGCACAATGATGCCCAGCATCGAGCTGCCCGCCGGTGGTCGCTCAATGAATTTGCTCACAGTTTCCGAAAGCAACGAGCTGAAGCCCTTTTCGGTCTTGATGCGAACGGAAAACGTAAACGTCGATCCCAAACTGTTCGTGTAGATGAACGGCGGATGTTTCACCGTGTATTTCTCGGCAGTGGCTTCGTTCAATCCGTTTCCTTCCTGCACCAGCACCTCGTAGGCGAAGTTTCCTCTCGGCATCGACTCAGATTCTTGCCAGTAGACGAAAAAGCTTCCGTTCGCTTCGGGAATCACTCGCACTTCACACGGCGGATAAATGGGCGGCGCCTCAAATTCCACGGGGCTGGTTGGCGTGGCGTTTGCCGTGGCGGTTGAGACTGTTACATTGTAGACGCCCCCTGCCTCTACAGCCACTTTGTGGCTCAGTTTATTGCTCACCATGATTCGCCAGGTCCTGTTCGAAGCTCTTTCGTTAATGGTTACCTGAAACAATTGTGTTGGATAACAGCAGCTGAAATGTAAAGCGATTTAGGGCAACCATGCAGCATACAAAATCTTTTAAATTCTTTCTGGATTTGGAGCGTGTTTTAGTGACATTTTCAGGAGCGCGTCCATAAATAACGGCCAATGGTCGTTTATAAAGAACTCATCCAGCATATAGGACAAGGAAGAGATTCCCTTGTATGCGGGAAAGAAACAGCGATATAGTCGCCCATAAACAGTGACACTATGGCTGACGGGAGCTGTCTTGTGTTTATAAACCCGCTCCTTAGTCAAATATCTTTGACAGATTGTGATAATTTCTAGTCTATACAAATTTAAGGCATTTTCGGAAAGTGCAACCCAAAACAACACTTACAATGTAATCGGCTTTGTCTTGGGATAGACAGCTTGGCTCCCAGTTGATGGCCATTTTCAAGTTATCCGCGCCTTCGGGTTGCACGCGTAACTTTTTGGGCGGCGCTCGCGGGTTCCACGAAGTGGTGAGCAGACTGTTGACGTTCGTCCATAGGGGGCCAATCCCGTAGGGCTCCACAAAGCCGACTGCGAAAAAGTACGACTCGCACGCGTCCAAGTTGTTGACGGTTGCAGTGAGTTGCGGCGTTTGATAACGGACAGCTGTAAACACAATTCGTTATGGACCAAAGGTATTTATTGTTGCTTCGTGTCTCTCTCAACGTGTATAATTTGCATCGTTTGAGTAACAAAGTTACTCGATCAACTCGTATATTACAAAGGCCTAGAAGGCTGACACGGAACGAAAAATTGCAAAACTTTCATTACAAGAGGGTTTTTTGTCTCCATAATTGCAAAAAAGCTTCGAAAATAGAATGTCTTCCAAATATTCGTGTCGTGTGCGAAGGTCTCGGCACAACAAATACATTAGAATCTAATGAGTGAACTTTGAACATCCAGTAGACTCTAATGTTGTTGTGCACTGGTACACCAACCTGCTAAAAGCTCTTGCATAGTGGTGCCGTAATAAACGCCATATTGCCAGGCAGCTTTTCCTGCCTTCTCCGGCCGTTTCCATGAAAGTTTCACCGAAGTTCCCAACGGTTTCACCACGTCGATTTGCACGATTTCAACACTCGGCAATGGGGCTCCGGGGGTGGCCATTTTGTAAGTGACCGCGGGGCCTACTAGGTGATTGCGGAACGCAAATATCTGCAGATTCAAAAGAAAATTTGAAGCAGTCAGCCGGGGAGAAAGTTATTTTTGCCTACCTGAGTGTAGTAAGTTTCTCCTGGGGCCAGATTGAGAGTAATGTTCTGGAACTGGGTGGAATAGGAGGGCAGACGCGGATACCTAAAGTCTTCGGTAGTAATGTTGAGAATGAAGCCATCAACTGGCCCCTGATAATTCCAAGAGATAATAGTGGATTTATTGCTGGTCGTTTCGAAGTGGATGTTGGCTACGCGTCCCAACTCAGCCTGCCCGTCGAAAGTCAGTCTCACCGGGGCCGACTGGTTGCTCATATACTGATTATTCATCGCCGATACCTGCAGGACGCATAAGATGACAAACTTGAAAAAAAGAAATTTTTTAGACGCTTGTCTTCTTACGGTGAAGATGTACGACTGCTTGTCCTGGAAATCAGCAGTCAACCGGTGGGAGGTTTTATTGCCCATCAGCGCGAGCGTGATTGGCCTGGATTCCGGTCGCGTCCAGCTTAGTCGGTACTTTTCAATTATCCCATTGGGATGCACCGGTGGATCCCAAGAAATCAACACCTGCGACCCATTCAGTTGTTTGGCTTTGACATTGACCGGAGGAGACGGCTTTCCTGGAAATGACCAATCAGGTGTTATTGGGCGATTGGTTTGTAACCGTTTAGCCAACTTACCGGCATCAGTGGTGACAACAAAGTACTTGGCGGGCGGAAAGACCGTCGTTTTGCCCTTCTGGCGCACGAAAACAGTCATGTTATATGCAGTGTAAGGCAGCAAATCCTTAAATTTGATCTCGGTCGCGTTGGTCCAGGTCACGTTACGCCACTGGTTCACCCCCACCTGGCAAATTGAGGGCAGGAACTCCAGTTCGATCTCCGGCTTGAAGGGCGATACGCCCCAGGAGAGCCACAAGCTGTTTTCGTCTGAGTAGAAAAGATTGATTTGCATGTCCATGACCTGCAATATTTGCAAGAGTGAGCAAATTCGATCTGTCTTTTTGTTTGCTTCCAACTTCCAAATCGGAAGGAATTTTTAAAGAACTTTTAAATGAAAAAAGCAGTTTTCGAGCATGTGAATCAAAGTCGTCCTATTGCTTATTGCGATATGTCCTACTGCTTTTCACATTTTTTTTCCAGGACCCAATCGCAAAAAATAGTAAATTTTTAGGTATCGGCGTTTTTACCTGGAAAATGATGGACTTTGAGGAACAATTCCGTTCGTCGTACCCATCGAAGCAGTTCGGGCGCCCATCGCACATGACTGATAGGGGATGGCAGCTGCCTCCATCGCAGGGAAAATACCCTAGGCTGCAACTGGGCGTGGCCGGCTCATTCACCTGCGGTTGGTCGCAGTATTTTTCGTCCGATTGGTCCGGACAGTTGGCAATGCCATTGCACACAAGTGCGCGCTGCAGGACCAAACGTAAGTTGATACGAGTTCATTTGGCCGAAGTCTTATTGAAAACTCACCGAAATGCAGCTGCCGTCGATCGCGCACTTGAAGTGGTTCTGCGGACACGTCATTCCAGTCGTTGAGCAGTTCTGTTCGTCTTCGCCGTTGGGACAATCGAAGCTGTGGTCGCACAACCAGGCGGACAGAATGCATTGGCCCGTGCTGCATCGGAACTGATTGTTCTTGCAAAGGGTGACCGGTGGTCGCTTGTTGGGCACCACGTTTTGCGGCACTTCTACATCTGCTTTGGAGCATCCGGCTTCGTCGCTTCCGTCCCCACAGTCGTTCACTTCGTCGCATTTCCACCAGAATGGAATACAGCGGTCGTTCTTGCACTTGAACATCCACTCTTGGCATGTGTCGTTCTGCATACCGAGAATCCACATGTGGATGAACTTGGCAAGTTTTCAATTAGAACCGGCTTACCTGGGAAGGCAGGAATCCGTTGGGGAATTTGGTGACTTCAGTTTTCGGCGTGGTGCAGTTCAATTCGTCTCTGCCATCCGTGCAGTCTCGGTCGCCGTCGCATAGCCAAGTGTTGAAGATGCAGCGATTCTGCGGTGGTCCACATGAAAACTGGAATTCACTGCACACGTTTTCCGTGCAGCCTGTTTCATCGGAACCATCTCTGACAAAAGAAACTGGGTAAATTATCCTGCAGACACAACCAGCCGTCGGTTTTATTTATCTAAGAATCAAATGACCATGCTAGATTATTTATATCTTTTGCTGCTAGTTGCTTCAGATTTGCGGACGTTGGGGAAAAGATAGACAATTTTCTCCCGTCTTATTTGCAAATGCTACTTTAAAATGTTCTACTTGCTGTAATAGCTAAATAACTTTGCATTTGCACCCTTAGTTTATATACACTTTGATCAATATTCCAAGCCGAACGCGAAGGAAATGCATGTAAAATACATGAAAAAACTAACATGCAATTTTTTGGCAGGTTGGCCGAGGACGGTTAGAGAGGTAAGTGACCATTAGTTGAGTAAGAGCAACCATTAGTTGAGACCATGAAGGTACTTATCGCGATTCGAAGTCAGGTCGTCTTTTACCAAACGCGCATTCTTCTCAAAAATTTGTAAAATTGACTCGAATTGGAAACCGTCAGGCTTTAAAGAACAAACCTTCCGTTTTCTAATGCACGAGACCGCACCTCCCTGACTCTTTTGGTTTGGTTAGCTCAGAAGGAAATGTTATATACCTGCAATCCGGTTCTCCGTCACATTTCCATGTGCTAGGAATGCAGGTGACTGCGCCAGACTTGCACTGGAACTCGTCCTCCCCCTTACATTGGGTGGGACGGTCGGGATCGCAATTACGCTCGTCCGTGTTGTCGCGACAGTCGTTCTCGCCGTCACAGCGCCAGCTCTTCGATATGCACCGTCCGTTGTCGCAAGAAAACTGAGAATCTGTGCAGTTCTGGCGTGGGCAGTTTACCTCATCCGAACCGTCTACACAGTCCGTTTCGTAGTCACACCTGCAAAGGACATGAGTCGAATTCGAATTGCAAACGAACGGGGTCGCTTTGCGTACTTCCAATAATGTGGCAGACACTTTCCGTCGCCACACGAATGGAAACTGGGCGGGCAAGTGGCGATGTTGCATCGGTCCTCGTCCGAGTTGTCGCCGCAGTCGTCTTCGCCGTCACAGTTCCAGCCCTTGGGAATGCACAGCCGGTTGGTGCAGGCAAAGTGGTCGGGACTACACGAGTTGCCCACGGTCGTGCAGGTGCCGTTGGCAAGTGGGGCGGCGCTCCCGGGGCACAAACACGTTCCGTCCTTGGTAGTTATCATGCCGTCCGGACACAAACAGACTGAGCCGTGCGGCAAGCCGACACAGATGTGCGAACACTTGAGGTTGGAACAGGCGTTGTGTCCTGCAAAGTTAACAAATTGCCCTGACGGTCGGAGGACTAAATCAGCTTCTACTGACCTGTTTGTAGTCCGTGTGTGAAGACCTTCAAGTCCATGAGTCCGGGCAGATTTTCGAGCACCACCTGGATGCCCGTGGTGCCTCCCACCATGTCCTTGTCCCTTTTGAAAATGGCGTTTTTCTTCCAATCGTCCCAGTAGATGTCGTTTTTGAACACAGCCACGCCAAACGGGTGCGGCACTATATCAGTAGACTCCACCACATAGACCATTCCGCCGCCCTGCAAGTCCGAGCTGCCGATATAGTCCTTTCGGGCGTCCACCCAGTAAATCCTGCAAAACATTCCACTCTATCAATTGACCAAACCTTTCGCGATCGGGCTGATTCCTACCGGTTGCTCACGTAATCCACAGTGATGCCATTGGGCCATTCGACTTTTTCCTTGTCGAACAGCAGGGTAACATTGGAGCCGTCCAAGTTGGCGCGCTTAATGCATGGATCCTCAGTAGACCAGTCGGTCCAAAACAGGTAACCGGCAGGCGGATGAACGGCGATGCCACGCGGCTTCTTCAGGTCCTTGTTGTCGAGAATGGTCCGCCTCATGCGACCGCTGTGATTGATGTCAGTCCGAATCAGCTCGATCTTCACGCGATTGCCATCGACGAAATACAACGTCTTGGAGATCCAGTCCAGTGCCATTCCCTCCACTGAGGCCAAGTCGTGCGACACCAAAGTCTCCACCCTGCTGCCATTGGAGAAGCACTGGCGATTGATAGTGTCCAAGTTGATGTCCGCCCAGTACACGCAGTTGGTGCTCATGTCGAACTCCACCGCAATCACGTTTTTCAGGTTCTTGATGGGTAGCGGTTCGAGAGTGTTGCTCACCAGGTTGTAACGCGAGATGTTCTCCCGTAAGGCGAACAGCAGGAAATCGTCGGCTTCCTGAAAGGGACACGGCAGGATATCCGGCAAATAGTGTTGCTCGAATCCTTCCACACATTTATCGCCCGAGATCTTCCTATAGCCTTTAGAGCGTTCGTAAAAGCTGCCGGGTTGGCAGAAATGATATGGCACCGCGTACGGATCGACGTTTTCCAGGCTCTTGTCTCGGATACATCTGGGAATGGTGTCGTCCACCCTAATAAACCCAAAGTCGCACTCAAAGTCGAACACATCGCAGCTGCATGGTTTCTTTGAGAGCACTCGAACATAGTCCAGGCCGTTGAGACAGTTGGCGTGCCGCATTCTTCTCTCGTAGGTGACTTGCTGACCCATAACACACGGAATGTAGCTGCGCTTGTCGTCGCTCTTGCTCGGCGTCCACATTTTGTAATCCTTGTCCGTGCACACTCTGGGAAAAACCTTCGTCAAGTTCACCTTCACAATGATCCAGCTGTGCTCCTTCGGCAACGATCCGAACATGGTAAACACCGTCGTGTTTTCGCCCGGTTCAGTCATCAGCCCATACAGCCGGATCTCCTCGTTGTGGAACTGGGTTTGGTTCCAGTTCTCTCCCTCGTCAGTCGAGTAGAGAATGTGCCGCGTCTCCCCATTTGATTTGTAGTACTTGACAGCGGACAATACTCCTCCATGGTCTCCCATGTTGAAGAAGTACAGCTCCCGAAGAGTTTGACGCCAGCTCAAGCCCCCATCCACGCTAATGTAAACGCCGTAATGGCCTTTAAGGTTCTGCCCGAGCACGCCAGTCGCAATTATGGTGCCTGGAGCGGACTTGCTCGACTGAATCGGCACTGAGCGGCTCTCAGGATAGATCTGGCTGAACTTCTGGCTCAGATGCAACGAGCAGTTCTTGGAGGGCAGGCAACCCGTGTCTTGTCCTTCCACGTCATTTGCCGGCGGTTGAACCAGCCTCCAAGTCGCACCATGATCATACGTGATTACAGAGCCCAAATGATGCGGCCCTAATTGGTTGTTGCCGTTGGTTGGCTTCGAAACCACTTTGGACGCGATGTAGATCCCGGTCATGCCCTCCACTTTGTAAACGTCGGCAAACGGCTCGTCTGACACATGGCTAAAGATATAAAAAACATTTTAGTTGTTGGAGGACCGCCTCAAGGAAATCTCAAAGTTGAATGTTTTTCGCGAAGTAAGCAGACCGAAGTTTTACATTTGCTTTGCGAATTTATTCAATAGATACCAATTATTAAAATAGTCCTAATGGCTTTCGCCTCGAAGCTAATCTCTTCATACCCGTTAGGGAATGAGGGTTGAGCTTAAATTGCTGCGTATCCCACGTTAACCTCCTAAATCGTGCGTCAACTTACTCAACCAAAGTGCCTTTCCATGTGGTATTGGGAAAGAAAGCGAACACGTCCTTAATGGAGAGCGTGAAGCGGACTTTTCCTTCCGTGCCTCCCAAATTGTCCGAAACGTACAAGTTGGAACTGGTTGGGGAATGACTGGCCGCCACAAGGGCTCTGCTTCCAGTCACATCAGCCACGAAAAAGTTGCTGATATTGAGCGCAGTGTCGAACATACACAGCAGCTGTTTGCTGAGCAAATGAGACACGTATAGTTCCAAACCCTAAAACAATACATAAATCATTCGTTTGCAAACGAGGAATTAAAGTGCGCCTCGAATAAGAGCCACATTTGCGTTTAGAACGGTGGAGATTTTATAAAGCGCAAACTGCCGCCCTAGACTTGCCTCAGAACTTTTTTTAAAGTTTGTCATTCGAATAAGCGCGAATATGCTCGCAACGGAACGATTTAACAAACGGAACGATTAAAAATGAATATCTGCGCTATTTTCAAGGTACTTGGCGTTATTTCATTTAAAATAAGGCAAATTTTTGTTTTTTTGTTCTGTTTGCCCGATTCGGGCGATGCTTATCTTATCGTCTAGCTCTTTTAAGGTAAGCGCGTATTTATGCGCAATTGTTCAATTCTTAATCAATCACCCAGTATATGTAAAAAAATATCCTTATCGATCGCATAGTTTACCAACAAATCCACTAAATAAAACATCGCGCTATCATTTTTGATAAAGCATTAAGCGGTTAATCCGCATAGAATCAATGCAGCTTTAGAACAAGGCTTGATACGAACATCTATATTTAGATGGTAAACAAAGCAAAAGCTGGTAGGTCAAAGTGTGATGAATGTTTTTATTCGTTGTTGTGCGATGCTTGAAGAGGAGCAGATTCAATTGAGGGCAATTGTCCAATTTGGAACGTAACCGGGCAATTTTGCCAAATCAACAGCGTCGCCTGCGGTTTGTTCTCGATTGGCTTACCGATGATCCGTTTTTCGTCGTAAACAAATAGTCGCCTTTCAAGAAGAAATCCTGAATATTGGTGGCATAGACTTCGCTCACGCGATTTTTGAACAGATTGTTCGAGTAGATGATGCTGCCGCGGCCGTTGGGCTCATTTCGATGGAGTAAAAGTTGCGCATTGTCTCCGCTTTTGATCCAGTACATTGCCTTGACAAACTCGTGGGCCAGCCGAAAGGACGCACCCAAATCCTCAGTGATCCAGAGCTGAAACCCAACGTTAGATTGCATCTGGATGTTGGTCACAAACTAGCCACCTACTCGTTGTTGGGTGTCGTTTTTGTCCAAAATCAGGAACATGGACGGTTGCAAGTCGTGGAAAGACACCTCACTAGGCGTGAACTTCAGTTCGATCCTCTGGAACGTCTTGCCATAGTCCGTGGTGATGAAAAGCAAGTTGTTGACGATATCAGTGAAGACAAACTGAAAAACCAGTCGATTTTGGCACCCAACTGCCCAATAAGTCCGCTATTGAACTCACTTGAGAATTCAGGGTGGGATGATTGTAAAACTTGTCCAAGAGCGCGTAGCGCCCATTGGGCAGCTTGAACTGGTCACTCTTGTCCGCATAAGAGTCTCCATCGTCAAAGGAAATGAACACCGCGGATGGTTTAGTTAGTTTCGGGTCAAACTGGGTGACCAGAGGGTCTCTAGCCAGGCAAATGATCACTTTGCTTTTATCACCCACCCAATGAACCATCAATTGCTTATGACTGTCATTCAGATGATTTATCTGAAAAAGAACGATCAAAATTATCAATTTTATTTGAGCTTGGATTGGAGTTTGTTAAAATGATATACACGATGACAATCAATTAGATTTAATCCAGAGCGACCACAATCGAGCGGAAGTGATTTTTATTAAATAAATCCAAGCCCCGGCCAACGGAGGATCAGGACAATCAAGCCTTATTTACCACTTAGCATTATTGTTGAGGCCACTCTGTATTGCACACAAAGCCCGCGTGACTGCCTGAGTCACTTGAAATTTACACGTATAAACGCTATCGCTGTTATTCCAATAACAAGCAGTCAATGTATTTTATTTTATCTGTAATGTAAATTTAACTTGGGCTTACTAGGCACTTATTAGGGCGGCCAAGCGTTACTTCTACTGATAAGGTTTGAGGCCAATAACAAACGTTTTACAACGATTTAAACTCTTTTGGGTTCAAATAAGGAGCAGTGGACGAGGAAACGGTTGGCTCCAAAGTTGACCTCTTGGAGGGCATCTGACGAGCGAAAAACTTTCTTATCGCACCGCCTGAATCAGCCAAAAACTTTTGTTATTTGAAACTGGATCTCTGCCTGGCAATTGGCGAATTTGATAACTTTGCTGACTCAACAGGACATAGTACAGCCGTTTCTATGCTGACACCAAATCTTTAAGGGTTCACATAGCAATTTTTTCTCAATCTAATTGACAAAATGTTATCGGGGATGTACAAAGAAGACAGTGGTAGTTGGCAATAGAGATCTATTTCTGGCCACTGTTCAGGCAATTAGCTCGTAAAATATGTACACAAAACTACCTTGGTATCCACCAAATCGTCAACAACCGGCATCTCTGGGTTGGAGGCACGCCGATAACGTCCTCCAGTGTCCTCGTTGGGCTCCTCATCGAGAAAAAAGTTGAAAGTGCGTCCTCCCGCAGTGTCCAAGTTCCCGTACAAAGTTTTTGTGGGTTCACTGTTTGTCGCGAAAAACGGCGAGAAAATCAGCAGGATAAATATGAAACGCATTCTGAGCGCAGTGCGATCAGCCGCGACTTATGTGGGGAAATAATACTTATTAGCTTCGTCACTTATTAAACACAGCACTTAAATGACAAAGCATCTGCAAACCAACACAAAAACACAAAACCGAAACGTCACTGTCAATTTTGAGTGACAATATTCAGGCCAGTGATGTCGCTTTTCAACTAGTTTTCATCTGGTTGAACTTTTTTGAGTGGAGGTTTTGAGCTTTATGGCGCAGTTTTCAATTGATGATCTCAACTGAGTTTAGAAGTATCGAATTGGGTTGGACGCCATTATTAGTCAAGGGTAGTTCAAGAGTTTTACGCAACTTTGTAACCTAGAGCTGGTTGGCAGCGCTTGGGGAATGGAGAAGTTTTATATTGTCCGGCAACGCTGTTAACGTGGAAGGGGGACAAGTAAGAAAGAAGAGTGAAACGGCATAAGCGCCCTTATCGGCGGCCGCTAGACCTAGTATTTGGCGCGGGCTATTCAAATGCATATATATTTATTTTCTTTGTAAAATTTGAACATTTTATAAGTACTTTGACGAAATGGTGCAAAGTTGTTTAAATTCATTTTCATAACTCACACTCATTCTGTCTGTAAATGTACGTAAATACTGGCTAGAGGCGTAAGTTATGTCAAATACAGGGTGAGTCAAAACTGGCGGCCAGGGGCGGATCCAGCTTTCGAGTCAGGAGCCGGTCAAGTAGTAGAAATTCAGTCTTTTGTTGTCTATGAAAAAAGATAAATTATCGCTAGTCGACATGAACCCAGCAGGGGTGTTGTGGTGTGTTTCTTCTAGAGGTGTTGTCTAGGGATGTTTGAGAAGTTCGGAAAAAACAGTAAACATTTAATTGTTATTAAAAACTGAGGTATTTGCAAAAAACTAGATCAGACCTTCGGCAACAATGTTTTTCAATCTGCCTCATTAACATAACGTAAATACCTGTTGTTTAGACACGTCTAAAGACATTAGAGCAAAAATATTTTCACATCAAGATAATGCGGTTTTTACCACATATTAATTTTTTTTTACAAACTTCTTTTTGGGTATTTTGCCTCAAAAATTGTTGTCTTTAAAAAAGACAGAATTTCCTCACGTCTTTTATTACAAATTGATAAATAGTGCTCCTATTTCGCAATAATAAAGAATTATTTAACAAAAAGTAATCAAGATTACTTAATTAATAATTAATTATTTAATTCTTGATTACTTTTTGATAAATAATTCGTTCTTATTGCGAAATAGGGGCACTATTTATCAATCTGTAATAAAAGACGTGAGGAAATTCTGTCTTTTTTAAAGACAAAAATTTTTGAGGCGAAATACCCAAAAAGAAGTTTGTAAAAAAATGAATCCGCCTCAACAATATAGAACTTATCCACATATTAAATGTTGATTTAAATTGTTGTCTCAAAAAGTTTTATTGTTTGTTATGTTTTCTGTAAAGTATTTAATGTATTGTTTAAGTATTTTATCTTTACTTGTCTCTACCTATGAACTTTACTGTAAATTGGTCTGTTGCTCGGCTCATATCAGTGATGACGTCATGGTGAGTACGAATTGAATAACCTCTCATTAGTGACACGAGCAGTTCGTAAGTAAAATTGTCATCACAGAACATCCCCTCTTGGGGATTTTTTGTGGTTGTCATTTGTCACTTTTTATTAACTCCCGCTGTCTGTTTCATTCTGAGGCAAAATTGGAGTGGTGTTTCTTGATTTAAAAATCTATTTTTTTGTCGGAAACAGTGCTATTTCTTAGTTAAGTCAAATCAATGCATTGCTGTCATTGTTATCATTCCTTAGACAATTAATACTAGGCTAAGGACTAGACTTAGTGATTTCAATTCCGGTTTTTCAACATTGACTCGTCTGGGGCTGTTACCAAGCCAAAAAACTCTGAGAAGATGGACAACCAGGTGGAGCCTGAGCTCGTTCGTGAGCAGATGAATGATGATGTAAAGTCGTCAACGGCAGCGGAGCCAAATGGAGATGAAGATGTGCCTGAAGGCTTCTTCGACGACTTTCTCAAGGAAGACTTCATGGCAGGGTTGGATATAATTGACGAGGACAATGACGAATCAGACGCTTTGTTAGAAAGCCAAAAGCAGGAAACACTGCCGGTTGACAATGCCAGAGGCAGCAGCAAGGGTAAGTTAGACAGTGTTGAAGTGGAGTCTCCAAAGGCAGTGGACCAATCGAAGCAAGAAGCTGCAGTATCAACGCTGAAGAAGTCAGGGAATAAGCGAGGCGTAGATGCAGATTTTTTCGATATTAGGAGAGACCCGGAAAAGACTCGTCAGGCCATTGCAAAGGATAAAATGAAAGGTGTTAAAGATAAGGAGAAGCGGCTGATAACGGACATCGTGCAAACTGGGTTGGTGCCCCCCGGCATGGAACTGGAAGTGGACATTAACGAAGTATGCCAGCTGGACAAGGGCGAAAACGCAGCCATACAGGGCAAACCAAAGCCTGACATTTCTAAAGAGAAAGACGAAGGACATAGTAAGAAGCGCAAGCGATCCTCTAAGGAGAGTGATAAGCAAAAACGCGCCAAATTGGACAAAAGCCGCGCGAGCAATCGGAGCCCAGAAGCAAAGGGGCGAACAGTCAATCGAGTTGATCTTACTACGAACCACTACAAGAATTCCAGTCCATTACTTGAAGAATGGGTGCGTAAACTCAGTCCGCTGAGACGCAATTCAAGGCGAAGTTCCCACCACAGAAAGCGATCTTCAAGCCCTCGCAGTCCAATGCACCGAAGGAGGTCGAAAAGCAGAAGCTTATCAGATCGAAGGAGCTTCAGACGATCCAGAAGCAGAGATTGGTCGCCGAAGTACCGCAGACACCGCAGAGACAAAAGCTACAGTCCTGAGAGTAGTGCAAGTCGACCCAGGAGGTCTCGTCCTCGTAAAGAAGAAAAGATGTCTTTTCTGGAGGAACTTGCGGCAAAACTGAACGAAAAACATCCTCCAACTGGATATGCTCCTGTGCCGAATTATCAAGCGCACAACATGGTTCCCCTGGTTCAGCCCTATCCGCAGTTCTTCAATCCCGCTGCTCCAATGCCTGCAGTGATCCAGCCCCCTCAGTACGATGAAAGTTTTTTCATTGGAAATTCCCATATGCAGCCCGCAGTCGTCAACCAGTTTGAGGAGAATTTCCCGCCTAAGCTGCCAGTTAGTGACATCCATGGACGCTCCTTCCACTCCAACCAGTTGACTACTCACAGTGAAGATAATTTGTTCTCCGCCAAAGACATCCCCAAAGTACGCGAAACACCGCTTCTGGTTTGGATGCTAATTTAATGGTTTTCTGCTTTTAGCTGTTTGCGGACAGGAGGATTAAGCTAAGTGATTTCTTGGCACTTACCGCCAAACCCTCAGGTGTGCTTCTTCTTATGAATTAGATTTATTATTTGAATTTCCTTTGTTTGCTCGACTTTGGGAAGTATGCGATTTGCGTACTTCCGGGAGCCAAAAGTTGCTGATAATTATCGCCCGATGGCTTTAGTATGGCTAAATATGTTGTTTTTTCTTATACAGTGAGTAATACAACTGCCTCAAAGTTGCAGGAGAAAATTAAAGGTAAGTTCGGCCATTAGTGGCGCTGTGTGTTGACATTGCGACTTAGTGAGGAGCGTTTTCAATTGATGTGTGCCTGGCTTACAGTGATCCAGCGCTGCCAGAATGCAATTAAAATTCTCAACGAGCAAAAGTTCAGTGGACCTCTGGTGGTGTACAAGACTGCCTCCCAAGAGAATCTGCAGGAAGTGACTGTGTCGCCCCTACTAAAGAAACCGGTCGGGCAGCTGCCCTTCACCACACCGGGCATGGAAGTTTTCCCGAAGGACTTCAAGGAATGCTGCGTTATGCTGCTTACCAAGGTTGGAGTCACCAGTGGGCCTTCTGGCGGTGAGCAGGTGCCACTCAGAGAACCATCTCGAACGCGTTCAATGGCTTCTAAGCTGCCGCCTTCGTGGTTTTGCAATCCGCCATCCCCAGCGATTAACTCGATGAGCACGCAAACCGATAGGGAGTTTTCTTCCTGTCGGGAATGTCTTCGACGACGCTCCACCCCGTTGACCAATAGTGCCGTGCAGACTGAAAATCCAGTGCTAACATTCTCAGTTAGCACGCAAGTGAGCGAGTCGGATTTCTATGCGATGATTCCCAAAACTCAATCGCTCGCCTCACTCACCCCCGCTCAATTACTCGGTAAGCAGTTGGTGGTGGATCAGGCGCGATCCAGCAGACTCAGTCGGTTACCTTCACCTCCGCCCGCTCCATTTATCCGCTCGCAAAACAACCCCTACGGGTCCTCTCTATTTAATCAAGCGAAACTTTCGCAAATTACACAGTCAAAGTCTGCGAGCGAACAGAACTTGTTTAACGGCGATCGCGGAAGAAGCAGGTTCCATAAAAGGTTTTGATTTGAGTGGTACCTGTTCATAGCTCTTAAGTTGATACCGCTAAACTGTACTTGCAATATGAAACAATGTTCACTTGTAGCATATTAAAGACTATGATTTTCCTTTTGTGTATTTCTTAAGGGGCCTTTTGTCGCTTGGCAGCACGCAAATCTTGGTAGTTATTACTGATTTGGGTAACGATCAGGATTTGCCGAAAGGTAAGCACGGTTTAAGATTACCTCTGGTTCCCATCCTCAGTTGCCCTTCGGTGGTTAAACACCACTTTCTTATGATGACTAAAGCGCGTGTAAGAAAGTTTAGTCCGAAAGAAGCTGATTCGACTTTGTACAGACTTATTAATATTTTAGAAGTAAGAAATGATAGCGAATGTTCTGAGCCCTCGCATTTTATACGATTCTTCGTTGTACATTTGACCATTTCACTCGGAAACTTTGCGATAAACGACATAGGTTGGCAATTGGCCGCAGGGGTCAGTTCTGGGGCCACTGTTGTTTTCCTTGTATGTTGCCGATATGGAGGAAAGTATTGTTAATTCTAAACTTCAACAGTTTGCAGACGATTCTCAATTGTATATTTCTTTTAATCCCAATCAACATGAAAATTTTGCAACAAAAATTAACGAAGATTTAAAAAATATAAGCGCTTATGCACAAAATAACAATTTAAAACTTAATGCTACAAAGTCATGTATTATGCTGTTAGGAGAAAATAAAAACCAAATATCCAGTATAAATAAAAACCTAAATATAATATTAAATAATGAACGGTTGCCTATTGTTACAGAAGCCAAAAATTTAGGAATCTATTTTGATACTAGACTCACTTTTGAAACGCATGTTAAAAGAAAACTAAGCATTGCATACCTTCGACTAAAAAAACTGTATAACATAAAAAAATATCTGCCTCAAAAAACGAAATTTTATTTGTGTAATTCTTTGGTTTTATCTTTACTTGACTATGGCGATGCTGTTTATCATGGTTCTTTAACTAATAAAACTGCAAAATCCATCCAAAAGTTGCAAAATACCTGTATGCGGTTTGCATATGATGTTCCATACCGGCAGCATGTTACACCTTATTTAAATAATTATTCAGTTTTGTCCATGGCAAATCGGCGTAAATTACACTTACATAATTTTATTTATAGAATTTTAAAGTCCAAGCAACCATCTTATCTGTATAAACTTTTTATCACAAGAGATCATCCTCATCAAA